AATTTTTTATAATAAAGAAAGAATTTTTTTTCAAAGTAATTAATAAACATGATGGATTAATGTTTTATATCAATGAGATGGGATTTAAAAATATCAGCAACAATTGTTATAATATATACTGCAGTAGTTTAACACGAGATAGTTAATATAATAATTTATATAACTTAAAATGATTTTAACTATGATAAAATCATAGTAATAAATAAATATATGTTTTTTCAATGAATTATATAATGACATATATGTTACGTGAAGTTTTGAGATTATACATAAAAAGAGAAATTAAGTAAATTAGATACTTCAAAAATTATCTCTACATTTAAAAAAAAAAAAAGCAATGCCATGAAATTGAAAAGTCTGAAGATAATCAAAGAAAATGACATAACATGCTTCTGAAATTGTAGAAAATTTTATTCTTCAAGAGCTATCTCACTGGTTGCATTACATTTGAATTAAGCATTTTGAGAAAAGTAATTGAGATTGAATTTAACATGTTAACTGATTAATTAGGGTGTATGAAAAGTGTGGATTAGCTGAATTTTGCTGAAAACAGAGTCATTATAGAGAGAATTGATCGAAACTATATTATTGGTTTTTCTAATAAGAGACATATACCAGAGTGTAAAATATTTAGGACGCAAATAGAAAATAAAGGACGAAATATTTATTGGTATAAGACATGAGAGGGGAGAGAATTGAGGAATGAATGAAATAAAATGAGTTAATGTGTATTTATTTGTGTCATAGACTTAATTCTAGAAAAATCTTATAACTTATAGTTTTTAGAAAAGTCATATAACTATTGGAGGAAATTTACCACTTGAAAAAAAAAATATTTTAATGAAGTTTAAAATGAAATATATATGAAATGATCATATTACGGTAGATTGTCCTCAACTTTTTAAATCAAATACATATTGAGATTTATATGTTTAAAATCAAGTAAAAGTACAAATTTGATTATATATTTTAATGAGTAACTCCACTTTATAATCTAGTAAATATTTTTAGTTTACTTTAAATACAAATATATCATCCTAATCATTTTATTTGTAAAATTACTTATTAACATTTTTTAAAATATTTATTTTTACAAATATTGAAATTAATTTTATTTATTCTTTAATTTAAATCTAATATATATTAGTAATTTTAACATACTTGTTTCTTTTTGGGTACATTAAGTAGAGTCAAAATAAAGGTGAAAATAATTAACTATATTTCTAAGTAATGAATTTACATGTTAAAGTAGGCCTTTTTAGTAAGCATAATTAATATAAAAATATTAGGAATTAATTAAAATAATAATTAAATAGAGTAATGAATAGATATCACAATAACTAAAAAAATTGTGAACTGATAACAAAATGTGTGTTTATAAAAATAACATTAGTTTCTTGTTATTATTCTTGGTAGATTTTTGTAAGTATGAAATTATAGTTTCACCCTTGATCACCATTTACTTTCATATGCAATGGGATGTTTCTAGAATTATTTGTTTCTCTTGCTATCTTTAGATTTTTATAAGTATAAAATTACATTTTTAATCTTTGTCATTCATATAATGACATATATGTTACGTGAAGTTTTGAGTTTATACATAAAAGAGAAATTAAGCAATTAGATACTTCAAAAATTATCTCTACAATCCCAAAAAAAATGCCATGAAATTGAAAAGTCTGAAGAGAACCAAAGGAAATGACATAACATGATTCTGAAATTATTGAATATTTTGTTCTTGAATAGCTATCTCACTGGTTGCATTCCTTTTGAATTAAGCATTTTGAGAAAAATAATTGCGGTTGATACTGAATTTAACAAGTTAATTTATTCATTAGGGTGTTTGAAAAGTGTGGATATGTTGAATTTTGCTGAAAGTTGAGTCATTATAGAGAGAGTTGATCGAAACTATATTATTGGTTTTCCTAATAAGAGATTTATACCAGAGTGTATAATATTTAGGACGCAAATAAAAAATAAAGGACGAAAAATTTATTGGTATAAGGCACGAGAGGGGAGAGAATTGCGGAGTGAATGAAATGAAAAATGAGTTAATGTGTATTTATTTGTGTCGTACACTTAGTTCTAGAAAAATCTTATCATTTATAGTTTTTAGAATAGTCATGTAACTTGTGGAGGAAATTTATCACTTGAAAAAAAAATATTTTAATTAAATTTTAAAAATACAATTTATAGTTTTTAAAATGAAATATATAAAAAAATGATCATATTACGGTAGATTGTCCTCAACTATTTAAATCAAACACATTTAGATCAATATGTTTGAAATCAAGTAAAATGACATATTTAATTATATATTTTAATGAATAACTACACTTTCATAATCTAGTAAGCAGTTTTAGTTTACTTTAATACAAATATATAATCCTATTCATTTTATTTGTAAAGTTATTTTTTAAAATACTTATTTTTAAAAATATTGAAATTAATTTTATTTATTTTTTAATTTAAATCTAACATATATTATTAATTTTATCATATTTGTTTCTTTTAGGATACATTAATTAGAGTCAAAATAAAGGTGAAAATAATTAACTTTATTTTTAAGTAATGAATTTTTGTGTTAAAGTAGGTCTTTTTAGTAAGCATACTCAATATAAAATATTAGGAATTAATTAAAATAATAATTAAATAGAGTAATGAATAGATATCACAATAACTCATAAAAACGGTGAAGTGATAACAAAATGTGTTAATAGAAATAACATTAGTTTCTTGTTATTATTCTTGGTAGATATTTGTACGTATGGAATTATAGTTTTACCCTTGATCACCATTTACTTTCATATACAATGGGATGTTTGTAGAATTATTTGTTTCTCTTGCTATCTTTATTAATAGATTTTTATAAGTATAAAATTACATTTTTATCCTTGGTCGTCCTACCCTTCACTCTTCTATATAATAGACTAGGATCTAGGAGGGTGGTGAATAAGCAATTTCTCTACCCCTACCTTGTGAAGGGCAGAGAGTTTGTTTTCGATAGATCCTCAGCTCAAGTAAACATATTAAAATAGAAGAAGAGAGAAGAGAAAAAGCTCAAATATGTCATTAAACTTTCAGAAAAGGCTCAGTTATGCCATCAATTAAAAGTTTAACTCATTTATGCCACTACTGATAAAGAAAAGACTCATTAATACCAGTATATTTTAACAATGGTTTTGCAAAATCATTTTTGACACGTGGCCAATTATAATTTAGTCACGTCGTCAATTTTATTAATTGAAAAAAAATAAAAAAAATAATTCAATTCTTTTCAGAATTTTGATTTTTTTATTTAAAAAATTGATGACGTGACCGAATTACAATTGACCACGTGTTAAAAATGGTTTTGCAAAACCACAATTAAAAAATAATGGCATGAATGAACCTTTTCTTGAATGGTAATAATATAGATAAGCCAAACTTTTTTTAACAAATGACATAAATGAGTCTTTTCTAAATGTTCAATAGTATATTTGAGCATTTTCCCAAGAGAGAAATAAATTAGAGGACTCCGTGTTAAAATGATGGGAAAAATATAAATGTGGTAATGTGTGTTGAAAACATCAATGTAGAAACTTCGCTGCAAACTTAAAGTGGATCCCTATAATTTTCACAAAATTAAAAAATACTTCAATACACAATTTAATATACATATAAATTTTATTTTTATTTTTAATTGATTCCACCTAATATTATACTTGATATATAATTATAAAGAGCTAAGCATAATATTATTTATCAACTTTCATATAATAAATAGATATCATAATAACTCATAAAAAAAAGAAACAACAAAAAAGAGGTAATACTAATAATAATACCTAAAAATGTTTTTAGAACTATTTAATTTTCTTATCATCACTCTTCGTAGATTTTTGTTTGCATGAGTTACATTTTTACCTTTGATCACCATTCACTTCACATATAGAAAGATGTTTCTAAAATTATTTATTCTTGATAGATTTTTATTAGAATGAAATTATATTTTTATTCTTGGTCATCTTTAATACAAATATATCATCCTATTTATTTTTATTTGTAAAGTTACTTTTAACATCTTTTTCTTTAATTTCAATCTAATATATATTATTAATTTTATCACACAAATTTATTTTCAAGTATATTAATTAGATAAAAAATAAAGATTGAAATAACTAATTCGTGACATTTTTATAATAAAAGTAGGTTTTTAAAGAAGCATAATGAATAGAAAAATTATTAAGAATAAAATTAAAGTAATAGTAAAATAGAGTAATAATAAAGTAGATGGCACAATAACTCGTAAAAGAAATAAAAAGAAAATGAAGTAATAATAAAGTAGATGGCACAATAACTCGTAAAAGAAATAAAAAGAAAATGAAGTAATAATAAAGTAGATGGCACAATAACTCGTAAAAGAAATAAAAAGAAAATGAAGTAACAATAAAATAAGTTAATGGTAATAACAATTACTTAAGATGTTTCTAAAATTATTTAATATTTTTGTTAGCGTGAAATTACATTTTTGCCATTCATCATTATTCATTTCAAATATAGAAAGATAATTCTAAAATTATTTATTATCTTTCTTCATAGATTTTTGTTAGCGTGAAATAAATTTAACACATAATCGACCTATAATAGATATCACAATAACTCATACAAAATATGAGTTGATAACAAAATGTGAATAGAAATAACATTAGTTTCTTGTAATTATTCTTGGTAGATATTTGTAAATATGAAATTGAAGTTTTACCCTAAGGAATTTAATTTGTATATATATGATAACGTAAGGAATTAAATTTATACATATATGTAATTGAAAAATAATCAAATAGGACTTCACCTCTTTCTTTTTGCTCTTTGGACCTAAATATTTAGGTTCGTCATTTCTTTGTTTTTATTGTACATTGTCAAAGGAGCAATCAGGTTTTGGATCAATTCCATTGCATGTATGCAAACCTAACAATTTAACTAGTTAACACAATCAACGAATTTTAGGTTAAGACAAATTTGAATGTACCTAATTGGTTTTCAATTGCACAAATTCTTTTACACCGAGTCTTATCAGTACATCGATTTGGTTTTTAATAAAGATTTCAACTCACTAGGGAACGCTAGCAAAGGTTATAGGTAATTGTAGCATATATCATCCAAGATTAGTCCATGCAACTTACCAAAGGCTGGTGACTTTAAGAATAGCTTAGCCACAATCCTTCACTCTCTGCTGATAATATATAACCGACAACGGTTAAGAGTAGCAAGTATGCAATGCATCAAATCAGAACAATCCACCCGAAACTAGCATGCATTCTCAAATCCAGAAGAGAATTTCTCTTCAGTGCCTACATAGGATCTAAACAAGAATGCTGACATATCGACATAAGATCGATCATATGTCTACTTCCTCCCTTCCTGTGCACCTGCTGTTGTGTTCTTCAGTATCTGCAGATTATAACAAAAGAAGTCAAACCCCAAATATACACCGTTTTCTTTTTGGCCATCTCTGAAGAAAGCAAATTTACAGCATGGAAAGATTGAAGCATTTGAATTCCTTTTTGTGTGGTCTTTGGAGATTCTTATAGGCGGATTGGATATGCAATATGAAATCATGAAAGTTGATGTTTTGTCAATCAGGTCAATGGCATTCCAACAATTAGATGTTTAATCATGATAAATCCAAGATTTGACTGATAGTCACATAGAGTTGTTATTTCTAAGTTGTCTTTATTGATTTTCAGCAAGACTCATCTTATAGTTATTCTACTAGATAAGTACCAATCTTAACCGGCAAGAGGGGAAGTGTATAAGAAAGGGTTAATATGAAATAGCCACGCCTGTGACTTAAATACAGGCTGAAAGATGTGTATAGATACAACACATGCTCAAGGTCGAAATTTATAGGAACCGGTTACTGGTATTACATGTTCATGCAGACAAGCCTTGAGAGTTTTACCCAAGTAATCTCTACACTTCCCAATTAACATGAGCGTAGTTCTTAGATTTACTACAAGGTAATAACTAAGAGTAGAAAGCTGACATCATATATCATGGATGATTACGCAATTCTTTACATCTCTCGCTACCAGATATACTATGGAAGATACAAGAACACTTCATTCATACATTATATGTTCAGCTTAAATGCTCTGTACACATATGATGGGCAGTATAATGCATATTGGGGAATATAGAAGGTGAGAAAGCTTCCATGCTTTGATCTATGTTCATACGCTAGTACATTTCTACTGCACATAAATTACATAATACTAATGTAACTTCAGGAGGCTGAAGTCACAGCATATTGTTGATAATTCATAGTTTGTCTCCTCGTCTTCAATGTTTAATAAATAATTGATGGGACATAACAAAAGCCCGATATAAGAGTGAGCTAAACCAAAGAAATGACTGAGCTTATAAATTGTTTCTGGATAATCCCCCCATTCATCTAATTTATTTTTAAGGCTGCTTTCCCGCACCTTAACTAATTACCCGAGATACCTATCATCACCTCCAACCAGCATCAAATACCAGGTAACTATATTCACCAAGGCTAGAACATACAGAAACAATCACCTAGTAGCTCTTTTACTCTATTGAATTTGAACTTGAGATCTCATGGCTCTCAACTTCTTCATTGAACAATAGACCACAACTTTTGGTGCTATACTCTATTCAAGTATATTGGTCCGTTATCCAAGAAAATGGGGTGATTGACGAGGATGTCACTCACTGTATTGGTGCAACGTGTATGACATAGAGACTTGCATCTGAGTTGCTAGTGATAAGAAGGTTCCACCAAAACATAAAGAGAAATTCTACATAGTGACGGTTAGACCAACTATGTCGTATGGGGTTGAGTATACAGGGGCATATCTAGAGGGGGTGTCATGGGTTCACATGAACCCATGCTACCATCTCTAGATCAAATATAATAGTGTTATATTTTAAGAAAAATATTTAAATATAGATGTGTGAACCCACAGTTAAAGTATCGTATAATAATATGATGACGATGATTGGGTGCACCTCTGTGAGGATAGAAATTAAAATCTTAGATATCTATCTTGTCTTTTTAAGTAGCACCTCTACAAGTAGTTATTGGTTATATACTTTTAGCGTTTTAACTAATTTTTCTTCTTTTTTTTTCCTTAATTTTTTCAAAAATTTTGAAGTGTATTACATTAAAAATTCCTAAAAAATATTTTATATGTATAATTAAATCAAATGTGTGCATTAAAATTTAAACTAGTAGTATTATATATTTTGCACCTACAATTTTAAAAGTTTAATGGTTTTATATTAGAAACTTTAAAGTCAAATTGATCAAATTTATATTTAAGATGCATTTTATTCGTAATTGTGCATCCATTTTGCCGAAATCCTGAATACGCCTTTGCAAGTACATGTAGTTGAGCACTCTCACGTTCAAAAGATGAAAGTTGTGGAAATGAAGATATTGTGATGGATGTGTGGACACATATACTAGGAGATATAGAATAAAATCAGGACAGTTGAAACAAGCTGAGTGTGGTTTCGAAAGAGAATAAGATGCGGGAAGAGATTCAGATATGTGAAGAGAAAGATGCACGAATGTAGAAATGCGGGGGGAGGTGAGAGTTTGGCTGTGAATGGATTCAGTAGAAATAGAGGTAAGTGGAAGAAGTATCTGAATAGTAATTAGACCGGACATGGCACACGTTCAAGCATATAGGATATATAGATGAACAATTCTATTGCAAAAATAGAAGTAGAGAGAAGAATGTTTACATGTCTAAGCATTTGGTTCTCATTTTGCAAAGTAGACAACCTCTCTTCAAGTTCTGCATTCTTTGTTTCCAATTCCTTCACCCTTGCTTCCAGATCTATCAAATATGCTTTCTTCCTCTCCCTTGCTTGTTGTGCTGATACTCTATTTCTCAACAATCTTTTTCAACCCCACCAAAAAAAAATACAATATTAACTAAAATGCCACTGCTATCCAAAAAAAGAAAGTGTGGAAGCCCATAACATGTGACAAGTAGATACACCTACGTGGCATGATGTTTAAGGTTTTTACCTTTTTAACCTTTTGTTTTCTTTGTCAGCTGGGCTTCTTCCTCTCTTCCTTTGAGTCCCAGCTGATGGTTGAGCTTGACCGGCGGCCGATACTCCATCTCTTCCAGAAGCTGACGTTGTCCCCGTCGCTTCTCCGCCCATCTCCGGCACTCTTCTGATCTCATCATCACTCTCCATACCTTCACAAAAAAACACAAAATGTTTTTTAAAAACTATTTCAAAATCTCAACCATACCTAACCCAAAACAACACATTCTTCAAAAAATTACTCCATAAATTCGTCAAAATTAAATGTTAAAAAGCTGGATTTAAATTTTTTTTAAAAAAGATTACCTTCTTTGAGTTCATGATGTAAAGCTGAACTAGATGATCTCTCACTACTTGAAGGTAGTGAACTAGCGGCAATAGAACTCGTCGCTTGCTCTTGCATTTTTCTCTACACTTGAAAAAAACACTAAATTAAGGGAAAAGTACAGTTTCGTATTTTATTCAGAAAAGAAATAGCGGGACATGAATGTTAAACAAGGAGGGGAGAGAAAGAGAAGCACCTCTATGGAATAATAATCGTTGGATCAGTTTCATATCGGACGGATATAAAGAGGTGATCGTGGATGCTTTAGAAGCCATAAGTTGTCGGCTTAATCAAAGGTTCATACGTAACTGTCGTGGACAAATGGCAGCCTTTCGATTTGATAGTATTAACGGCTATGATTAATTATTCTTAAAACTTTTAAGTAGGTACAACGCATCGGGACCATTTATTTTTGCTGGTTTAATAAAAAGTGCTATTGTTATTACCGTTTTGCCCATGATAGATATTTTATCCACTCCATCTATCCACTTTCAAGAATTTTTTATACTTTCCCCGTCTCTTATTTATTTATTTATTTATTATAAATCAAATATAATTAGAGACGTTAAATAGGTTGGTCCAATCAAATTTTAATGGATTAGAGAATTGTTGGGCGGGTTAGTTATTTAATTAAAGGATCAATAAAATAACAATTTAAATCAGTCATAAGCAGGCCACGGATTGGAACGGATTGACCCTTCAACCAAAAAATAAATAATATTATTCTCTTAAAAAGAATATCGAATGTTTATGTCTATAAACACGACATCAATTTAAATAAAAAATCCTTTATAAATGACACACTTCGGCGAATACTCACAAAAATACATTTATGAATCACACGCTTTGGTGAATACTTACAAAAATACATAATAGCCAACATAAGATTTAATGGATAAATTTTGATCATTCCATCATTTCTCCCACAAAAAACTAGTTTTCAGCAACAAGGCAGCCTAAATACTTAACAAATCTGAATCTCTAACTATTACATGACTCATTAATTAATGTTTTACAACTCCGCTTTAATTTCCACCGTCGAACATATTTGAATCAACATGTGATATTATTTCCTTAAGAAGTCCATCTTCATCTACACCAAGAATATGATATTGCAAAATACTTGATTTTTTTATTTTTGCAAAATATTTAATTATTAATGAAATCTTTACAAATAAAACATTATTAAAAATATATATATAAATATTTTTAAAAATTAATAGCCCACGAACTCGACTCTGAGGTTTACAGGTTGGATACGAGGCCAACGGGGCAAATGGGGCGAGCTAAAAAAGTCTCATTTATAAATGAGTCAAAAATATTAAGCTCAACCCAACTTATTTCAAGGTTGGGTTGGGCTGGCTTCGTGGGTCAAGCATTTTTTTACGGCTCTAAATATGACCCGTAGCTCCATTATATATATATTTATATATTATGAAATATATATGTATTAGCGTACGAATTTAATATTTATTCATAAATTAATTTATGTTATAAATTCATTGAATAAGTGGATAGTCCATAAAGTTAGTACATGAACAATCATTCATATTCACTAGGTTTCATAAACCTTTTTGGATAAGAATGTATCTATTTATTATGATACTTAATATGGTGACTTTTGGAGTGATTTCTCACTTTATAAATAGGGTTGTTCATTCACTATTGTAGGACACACATATGATACTTACATATACTTGAATAAGAAAAAGTATTCTCCTCTATCTTATACTTCTTGTCTTCTTCTTCTTATATAATATTCCGAGCTTTCTTTATAATACGTTACCAGCACGAGTCTCTTCCAGTTCAAGTAAAGACTTTAAAAGCCTCGGAGGTATAAATTTCCTTTTCTTAAATAATGTCTAATCTTTCTAAACTTGGATTTCTTGCTGTAGACATATCGGGAAAAAACTATCTATCATGGGTACTCGATGCAGAAATTCATCTTGATGCGATGGGTCTACAAGACATCATCCAAGAAAATAATCAAGCATCGAATCAAAATCGTGCTAAGGCGATGATATTTCTCCTTTATCATCTTCATGAGGGTTTGAAAATGGAATATCTCATTGTTAAGGATGCTCTGATGTTGTGGAACAATTTAAAAGATAGATATGACCACCTGAAGTTGGTCGTCCTTCCACAGACACGTTATGACTAGATCCACTTGAGACTTCAAGATTTTAAATCTATTAGTGAGTATTACTCTGTCATGTTTAAAATTATCTCACAATTAAAATTATGCGGAGAAAATATCATTGACCATGATATGCTGAAAAAACGTTTTCCACTTTCCCTATCTTGAGTATGCTTCTGCAGCATCAATACCGAGAATTGAGATTTAAAAAGTATTCTGAATTAATTTCACATCTCCTTGTTGCTGAATAACATAATGACTTATTGATGAAAAACCATGATAGTCGACCTACTGGTTCTATGCCATTTCTTGAAGTAAATACGGTAAATTTTCACCAATCTAAGCGTGAAAAAGGTCGTGGCCCCAGTCGTGACCGTGGTCGAGGAAGAAATTTCAATCATGATGATCGTCTTGCACTAAATAATAACATTCAATACCAGCAGTGTAAAAAGAAGAATGAAAAACATGACGTAGTGCAGAAGAAAAATTCAGACGACAAATGTTATCAATGTGGAGGAAAAGCACATTGGCCACGTACCTGTCGTACGCCAAGGCACCTGGTTGAGCTATATCAAGCTTCCCTGAAGGAGGTAAAAAATAACGCAGAAGCCAACTTTATCATGGAAGATACTGTTGAACCAATGCATCTAGATGTAGCGGATTTCTTTGAGAATCTCAAAGGAAAGATAGATCACCTGATAGGTGATGGGTCTGTGATAATGTAAATATATTTTATTTTCGTCGTTTATATGAACTAGTATAAATATGTTTTCCTGGACTTGTAAATAACTAAAAGGGTGTGTAATGTTTTTGTTTAGTAATAATATTATAATGTTTATTTCTTTTATATCTTTTATCTTGAAGAGTATATGGATACCTCAATGATCAATCATGAAGATATTTGTGTAATTAATAGTGGAACAATGCACGCCATATTCAAAGATGAGAAATACTTCTCCTACTTGCTTAGAAGAAAAGCAAATGTTACTACAACTTCTAGTAATTCAAACTTAATAGAAGGCTCCGGAAGAGCTACTATATTTCTGCCTAAAGGGACAAAACTTGTCATAGAAGATGCTTTGCTCTTTTCTAAATCCCCAAGAAACTTGTTAAGTTTTAAAGATATTCGCCGAAATGGATACCATGTTAAGACAATAAATGAAATGAATGTTGAATACCTTGGTATTACCATGATTGTCTCAGACCAGAAATATGTGTTGGAGAAATTATCAACTTTATCTTCTGGCCTGTATTATGCAAAAATAAGTACGATTGAAGCACACTCTATCGTAAACCAGAAGTTTACTGACTTAAAGACTTTTCTGATTTGGAATGACCGAATAGGTCATCCTGGATCAATAATGATGAGACGAATCATTAAAAACTCAAATGGACATCCATTAAAGAACCTGAAGATTCTTACAAATCATGAGTTTTCGTGTGTTGCTTGTTGCCAAGGCAAATTTATTACTAGGCCATCACCAATGAAGGTTAACATTGAATTCCCTCAATTTTTAGAACGAATATATGGGGATATTTGTGTACCTATTCACCCATCTAGTAGGTTGTTTAGTTATTTTATGGTCCTAATAGACGCATCTTCTAGATGGTTCATGTCTACCTCTTATCATCTCGCAACCTGGCGTTTGTAAAATTATTGACACAAATGATTCGATTAAGAGCGCAATTTCCAGATTATCCCATTAAGACAATTCTCCTTGATAATGTTGACGAGTTCACATCACAAGGTTTTGATGCTTATTGCGTATCAGTATGGATAAAAGTTGAACATCCTATAGCTCATGTTCATACTCAAAATGGCATTGCTGAGTCTTTTGTTAAGCGTTTACAATTGATAGCAAGAGCTCTACTTATGAAAAGTGAGTTGTCTACTACTGTTTGGGGTCATGCTATCTTACATTCAACATCACTTGTTCGTCTCAGACTGACTCATTATAAGAAATACTCCCCATCACAATTGGTATTTGTCCATGAACCAAATATTGCTCATCTTCGAATTTTTGAATGTGTTGTATATGTGTCTGTAGCACCACCTCAGCCCACCAAGATGGGCTCTCAAAGAAGTTTAGACATATATGTTGGGTTTGATTTACCCTCCATAATTCGCTACCTTGAGCCATTGACGGGAGATTTATTCATTGCAAGATTTGCAGATTGTCAATTTGATGAAATAAATTTTCCGCAATTAGGGGGAGATAAAAAGAAACTGAAAAGTGAAATTGCTTGGAAAGTTTCATCATTCTCTCATTTTGATCCACGCTCCCCTGTGTGTGAACAAGAGGTCCAGAAGATCATCCATTTGCAAAACATAGCAAATCAAATGCCAGACTCATTTACTGATTCAAAAAGGATAACGAAGTCACATATTCTTGCAGTAAATGTGCCTATCCGAATCGACGTTCCAAAAGGACCATCTACAAGTGTCATAGCTTCTGAATCACAAATACGCCTGAAGCGTGGTAGACCACTGGGTTCAAAAGATAAAAATCCTAGAAAAAGAAGTACAAAAAATGACACTACAAAAGAATCTCACGAAGAAATTCAAGATCTAATTAATTCTGATATTTCTGAAGAGATCAGTGAACCCGAGACTCAAGTAAATGAAGAACTCTCAACAAGTTCTACAGGTGATGGGATAAGTTTAGTTCGATCAATATGTTTTCGTATATGATGTTGAACTTAACATTATGCAAGGAAATGAGGATCTTGAACCTCTATCTATCAAATAATGTCGACAAAGATGTGATTGGCTAAAATGGCAAGAAGCAATTCAATCAAGATTAAATTCACTTGCTAAGCGTGAGATTTTTGGACTAGTAGTTCAAACGCCTAGTGATGTTAAATCAATTGGCTATAAATTGTCACGACCCAAAACGAGTCACGAGTGGCACCCACATTTATCCTCTTATGTGAGCAAACCAACCAATCTAAACCCCAAATCATTTACCAATAATTGAACCATAATGAACAGAATACAATGCG